TATATATATATATATATATGAGATTAGCGGACAGTTCGATTCATGGCAAACGGAAGAACTGAAAAGCATGCGATCAATACCAGAGCGACTATGACAGATGGGTATTTTTTACCACCGGAAAGATTTCTGCCACAATTTCTTTTGATTCGATTTGATCCTCTGCGATCCGGGACAACTGAAAAAGTTAACTGCGTCCTTCACTTGTCACAGACAAACAATTCTATCGTTCCATTTTATAGCACCGAGTTTGTATACCCCTGTTACCCCTCCCGTCATCCGCGAATCTTTCGTCCCGGTGAATCGAACCACTAAGCGGAAGGCGCAGTCAGATTGGCAAAGAAGATTATCATGAAATCCGTTGCGGATTTAATGATCCGTTTCTTTTTTTTTCTGGACTATTCTCCAGCTACCGTACAGATTGTCAACCGTCACGGGGACCGGAACAAACCAACGTCTGTTTTGTAGACATGTGCGCACTGGTCTGCACATATGCGCATAAACCGAGTAACCGATCGGCATACAGTCCGGGTTCAAAAAGGGGGCTTGCTGTTGATACGGCAGAGTTGTGATCCGGGAGGGGGGAGGACGGTATTAAGTTTGGACTTGGTTGCTCAAACCAAATGACACAGTATCGGTACAACCTTCGGGACTGACCGAGGTGTGGACGGAAGAAGAAGTGATGTCGCACTTAGTCCCACGTGGTACGCTGTGCACGACGCCCCAATGCGGAATCCACCTGAAGAAGACGGAAGAGCATTATGATGATAAGGCTGCGGCTGAGGCTGGGAAAACGGTGGAGATTAACGATACCAAAGAGGATGTCATGGTGGACGTACGTATAATGAACCATAGGCAGAGACAGATGTTTTGTATGGTATTGCAACTAGCATCACGAACACAAAATGACAAAATATTCCATCAAAGATCATATTGGAAAGCTTTCATAAGAATGACAATTTATGTTGAATTTGTATTTCCGGAATGAACAATTGTCTTGTTTTATCAATCTCGTTTCATGATTGATCTACATGAGACTTAGCCATTTAGCCATTTGGAACGACAGAAACTTCACACTGTGTACTGTGTATGGTTGGGATCCATAATGAATCTTATTTTCTAACTTTTCACATGTATTCAATTGACGTTTACACACCCCGATTGGTTATCAACTCCGTCATTGGATTTGAACGGGGACATTGTTAAGGATGATTGGCCCATGTCAGACCAGCTTAACACTCTTGTTTAAGTGATTCAATATAAAGCAAGTGAGCAATAAAATAAAATCCGAAAAATTACATGGACACACAACTTTGTGGATAACTAACTGTTTAGTTGGAAACTGATAATTTGTAGCGATATGGAATGAAATTCGTCGAGATTTAATGAAGATATTCTGAGTAGGACAGGTCCGGTGAGGATTTTCATCAATAAAAACCTCTAGGGATTTGATAGGGCTTACTCAGGATACTGGTTCATAGCATATCAATGGGTGACAGATATGTGATAACCAGAAGAGATGTTCGAAAAGTTTGGCGACAAATTGCTCAACATTGTCCAAGTTGTTAGAAAAGTGCAAACGAACAGAAAAACTGGAGGTGACTTGACGTAAAACCATAATGTCAGCATATGTCAAGAGAGAAGTAGGAATGTTAGCGGACGAATCGCTTATATGCGTAGAAAATGAGTATGGGGGGAAAGAACTGCACTTTGGAGTACTCTGAAGTTGTTCACCGATGGTTTGTATTTCTTCGAACCTATCTGGGCGCATTGAGTAATCAATAAATCAGGCTAATAGCTGCTTGGGGAAATTGAAGGTTTTTGTTTACGAAGAAGGTATTTGTCCGGAAATACACAGTGTACAGATTTCCCTGAATCATTCGAAGACTTGTTAATTTATATACTTTTGAGGAAGCTGCATCTAGCATGTACTTCTTTGGTTTCTAGCCAAATTGAAGGGGGCATCCGGGACATCAAAAGAGGATTGTATGTGTATAACGCTGACACGTTCCGCTAGTTCAAGACCAACAAAAGTTAAATTGAAGTGATGGAGCGGAAGCGTTTTGTTAGAATAGTTGAAATAGAGGATTTGGGATTTGTAACCACTATCAGTGATCTCCAACAGTCTGGGATGATGGAAATGTTTCCGACTGGTAACAATAGTTCTTCAGTAAGCGAACTGACCTCATATCACAAAAGAGAGGGGATAAAAAATTGTTTGCCCTCGGACGGCATCATCCAGAGCAAATGGTTTGATGGCATTCGGGGATGGGCGGATAAAAGCCGCGTTAACACCGTCTCAAATCGTTGCACAATCCGGAGTTTTGGCTTTGGTCCAAACAACAAGAAGCAATTTTATACCTTGCCATATGTGTTTACTGTTGCTACACTACAGGAACTGGTTGGCGTACAACGCACATGAGCTGTTGAATTCATCCTTGATCAGTTTGGCATAATATTTGACAGCCACTGAGTCCTAAGACTTTTACGATCATTCCTTCACTCTCCTCAATGATTTTAACAACGAAGATGCCATTCTGACGTTACAGGTGAATAGAGCTTCAATGAAATAGCATAGGTTAAATATGTGATTGAGTGGGTGTCATTAAGTAAGTTGCCGGCGTCTTGTGGAGAAGGACAGTCGGAGAACCACGAAGAGACATTACTAATGCGACAGTTGAGATGAGCGTTTCTGGCAGATAGATTGTGAAGATGAATTCTGACTTGTTTGGTTTCAGTAAGTGTACTGTGAAGGAGAAGGAAGAGTATATTATGGGTCATATGAGCATCAAAGCGTAATCACTAAGCGGGATCTGAGTTTTAAGGCAGTGTCTAAAACTTTGTGAGAAAAAGAATCATCTTTTGTGGCAGATAGACAAACATCGTTTAAGCCAAAAGAGGTAATGGACTATGCGGAAGCATGTTTGAAGTTGCCAACCACAAAACGGGAGTTTGTTCCCTGATAGTGGAATGAAAGACTTGATGAAGGAAGGACAAAATGTCTGTTACTGGATACAAAAGGGAGCTATGTGCAAATTGTTTCTAAAGGTGCTTTTATATCGGGTAGTGGTGGCGCAGTGGTTTGGTCGCTGTCACTGGTGTGCTTTGGACTCTATGGTCCGAGGTTCGAGCCCCGCCACCCCACTTTGGTGGTAGGCAGCTCTGCTGTCGTCCGGTTCAATACCACGCCTGACCTATCGGGGTCTTATGTCGTTCGCCACTCCAAGTCCCGGGGCCGGTTTCCACCACTGAACAGCAGGTCCTCGTGAGAATGGGGTTCGCCCCGTCTGCTGTTCATCACACGTAGGTGTGTAATAAAAAAACCTAGAAGAGCACTGATTGATTCAGCGATTGACGTTATTGGTGGAATAACAAAACGGAACCTCAGACTTGCCACTCCAAAAAGAGTTGAACTAGTTAATCACTATACTTCTCGGTTTCTTTCTACACTGCTCTCTGAGTTTACGGAATTATTTGAAACCTTCCGTTCGAACTAATGGCTACTCACATGTTGCGGTGAATGCATGATCCATCGTTGCAAAAGGTGACCTGACTTTCGTGCTGATCAATAAGGGACAGTTATCTTGGATGGGAGGGGAGATGCAGCTATGCGTTGATTGCCAGCCACTATTGTCTTTTCCAACCCGGATCAAGGGTGGTCAGAGAAAGAAATATCTGTCTCTCTCCGATGGTCGAAATTCATTGTCGATATCTATCGGCTTATCGCGCGAGGCGATGCCTCATCTGTGCTCGGAAATCCTCAGTATGGTCAGGAATGGGTGTCTTGAGTTGTGACTGGTCACCCTTCCCTCACACCTCACGAAATGGTCCTCTAAGACCAAGCGTCTCAGATAGCGTCTGTTGAGGAAGCCCTCTCTGCTCATTGCATTCTCGTGGCGGAGAGAGAGGACGAAAAGTCGACATCCAGGGTCAATGCGGGATCGGTGAACCACTGGCAGTGCGCCTTTGGGAGTTGGCTAAAAACCCAGATTCCTAACAAACCAAGTGGAGGCGTACGAACTACTCACCCGTACCATGGCTATGACAGTGATCCCCGGATCGATTTGGCATCCTGGACGTTTGACTCCGTCCGATGGGCTGTACAACGGCTCCCAATGGATCGCGGTTTTCACACATCGCCCCGATGCTTTGCGGGTCAGACTTTAACTAGCCGAAGGCTCCGGTTGTGAAAATTCACCTACGCTGGCCTGGGCAACCTGCCAGTATTCAGCCCACAGTCTGGCCTTAGCCGTGTGTGCACAAACGTAATATATATGGACTATTGACTGTCCAGACTCGTTTCTCGGTGTGTGAATTAGTAATCCGAAGTCCAGATGTAGCCGATATATCCGGATAGTCCTGGTCTGCTCTTCCATCTATGTTCGTCGTTCATCGCGACTATCGTTATGGCTACGACGTGTTACACATAGGGGAACCCCCTTCTAACTGTGTTTGCTGTTTGACTTTTGTATTCGGTACATGCACACACATTCTGAAATCGTAAGTTTTCTTTCGTCTGTCTGTGAGTCGGGTATGTTCATTTTACGGTTACTTTCCCGTTGTCTCTCCTAGTCGAATCTCCTCTCCAGTTTCGGTTCGGACCCTTTGAGATTCTGATCTAGTCTCTGTTGCTAACTTTGGTCATGATAATAGTATAATAATTGTAATGATGATATCCTTATGGCGGACTGTGATCATCTGGTACATGATGCCAATCATGCACCTCTTTTTTTGCTTCCCGCAGGTGGATTGGTCGACAGCGAGAGAAAGTCGGCTGTCACGTCTCGTTCCCTCTGATCCTGGATCTGTCCAATTACATGTTGACGAGCACGAACCAGTCCGAATGTACTAGATCGCATACACACGCGGCATCCTATCACGTGGATGGTGTGGTTAATCAGCCTGGTTCTCAAACCACCAGCCTATCCGGAACCGAGTCTGCGCTCGTGTCCGCTAATCCACCTGATGACGATTCCAAGCCGAATCATTCAATGCCACGACGATTCCTCTATCATCTGACCGGTGTGATCGTCCATCATGGTCGAGGATTCCAGTCCGGACATTATACAGCCTATTGTCTAAACGATCAACCAGGTACCTCATGGGATTGCAATGCATTGGAGGTTTCTGAAGGGGTTTTTGTTTTGTTTGTTTTTATTTCTTTTTTGTCTGTTCGGACTGTGACCTCCTCATGTTTGCACTGTTTCTCGAACTCAGCCGAATGTCCACTGTCCGTATAGTACACTGACCCTTAAGGTCTCATGATCGAACCCTACCGATTCCCATCTTACTTTTGTGGTAGATAGCTATCATCCGGCTCGAAATCAGGCCTGTTCCATCGTGGTCTTATGTAGTCATATTCTCCAGTTCCAAGGAGAAATTTAACGGTTCCGACAAGCCTTCTGAATGTGAAAGTTACATCTTCCTCGGTGAAATGTTCCACAAACTCAGTTGTAATGAGCGTACCAACAGGGAAGCACTTGGATCATCTCAATTCACATCACTCTATTTATCTATCGATTTTTTTCTAGTATTGATTTCCGTTCGAAGCGGTTGATTTGTTGAAACTGAAAAGTTCAAATAATATCATTCCGTTGTAAGATTGTCAGCAATTGTGGTGAATGTGAGGTATGTGCGAAAACTATTGTTTACAGTAGTTTTCTCTGTCCAATGATTCTCTCGAACATCGAGGACACTGGCCCTGTGAACCCTAATCAAGAAGTCGATCGTATCTGCAGGTTGCTTATCACACTCTTACCAAATTATTTACTGTCCATTTTGTCCAAACGTCTTGAAGAACAAAACTAGTCGAGGAAGTGTTTTCACCATCCTACACTGATCTCGTTCTAATTTGCTTGACTGTCAATGCAGTATGTAAATGGCGGTCACCTATCTCCGGAGACTTCGGTTACTAGATTTTCTTCATTGCACTATAGTGTGAGGATCCACTAGCGGCAACCGATTATTCCAACTCCGGGAGTTGGTTTGAACCTCGGACTCCAGACATGCCGGTGATTGCAACTTCAATCGCTGAACCACCTCCATATAACCTTCTTTGATTCATTGTTCCTCACTAATCAAGTGTTAAACACTCCGTTCTCAGACTTGGAACATCGCGTCAGTGGCATCTTGATTTAAGTGTCCCCCGTCTTCCTTTCAACTGTTTAGGCCGTACACCGTTCTTTCTCGCGGTCCCTCATAAAGCGAGTTTTGCGATCGTCAATCCAACTTGTTCGCTCTGTGGAGTAATGTAAAAAATAGCGTAAAACATTTTTAGACTCCAAATCCAACCGGTGAGATTATTGCTGTCCATTTCCTCTTTGAACTGACGAAGTAAACGGAAATTTATCAGTAATGTGTGCCACTACGAAGGAAAGTTTTTTTGAGTACTCCCCGGGTAGTTATGTATGAATACGTATGCAGCGCTGGCAAACGTGAACTGCGGCTGGGTCGTCGAAGACCGTTTAGAGCAATTTCCTCTTTCATTGAGCCAATGTAAGCTCACAATACAAGATGACGAACCTCGTCGTTGCTCGCCCGAGACTCTATCCACAATCACAGGGGTAGAAGTCTTTTCGTGATGCGACACTAACACGGTTAAAAACGGGGTACAACCCTAAAGCGTTGTGGAATCCGTCTCCTGCCCTGCAATCACACAATGATTATCGCAACTAAGAAGTACCGGAGATGATGTATCCGGTTTGAAAGCTAAACATTTCACCAACTGGGCACAGAACGCAAGCAGGCGGAATAACAGTGACCGTCTTTG